CGCCTTCTGCCCCTGCTCTAAGGGCTGGTCCACACTAACCCCCCAGTTCGAACTAAGATACGCAACTTCAGCAACGTGAATAACATAGCTGAAGTCGAAGTACCTTAGTTCGAACTACAAGGTACTTACCGCAGGTCCACACGCGGCAGGCAGGCTCCCCCATCGACTCCGCGTACTCCTCTCGCGGAGCAGGAGTACCGGCGTCAATGGCGAGCACTTCCGGGATCGATTTATCACGTCTAGACAAGACGCGATAAATCGATCCCAGATCGATTGCTTACCGCCGAACCCGGAGGTAAGTATAGACGTACCCTAAGAGAGCCCATTCCTCCTAAGAGAAATAGACCGCAACATCATCAAATGTCACCGGGACCGGGAATCACAGGAGTTACATACTCTCAGCCTTCCACTTCCATCCAGCCCGCTTTCATCCCAGCCCATCAGAGGTCGCGTTTTCTCCATGAACAATGAACAACAGGCACATGCCACTCTCTGTAATGCCAGAGTCCATCCCGGAAGACCAAGGGACTCGTCCTCTGCTTGGTATGTTGGACAAAGAGCCTTGAGGTGCAGGAGAGTGCAAGCACCAGCAGTCAGGAGGGCTAAAGCCAAGTCCCCTAAATCAAAGGGGAAAGCATTGGTTTGCCAGCTCCAGGAATGACCCCACTGAAGATGCCGGCAAACCTGAGTGGATCAGGGATACTGGAAGCGCGCTCGGGGGTGGAGCCAATCGAAGATTCGATCCTGCCCCACTCGGCAGGCAACTAGGGCAGTCACCGCTTTGCTGACAGCTGGCGTGACAGTCACTCCCCAACCCTACTGCTCAAAAGCAACACACGAGGCTCTCCCTGCAAATATCCTACCTGAGCAGGAGCTGCCCCAGGCGTTCCCATGGGTGGCCCAAGCAGGGAGTCAGGAATCCTGAATTCTCTCTTCGCGCCCGTGCTTCATTCACCCTTCTCCGCTGCGGCAGGCTCTGCAGGCCAAGAAGGAAGGGGGAGAAATGAGACAGTGCTAGCTCCGGGAGACTCTGCCGACAGACACCTGGAATGCCGCTCAGCCGACAGCTGGGCTGAGCCATCTCCCTCCACCCCCTGCTCATGGCCCTCACCTCCACTCTGACCCCGCCCACCTGCTGTGGGGGCCCATGAAGCTGGGCCTGCCCCCAGGAGGAAGCATCGCGAGGGATGGACACGCCACTGAAAGCAAGTGGCCGCTGAGCAGAGAGTGGAATGAGAAGCAAGGGGCAAGCCGACGCGCAGCGGGACTGGGGTGAGGGAAGTGCGGAGAGAGGGGACGGGCGCAGGAACGGACGGGGGTGCCAGCAAAAGGCTTGCACAGCAGAGAAGGGGGAGCGAGTTGGGGAGACATGGGGCAGGCATCACCATCACGGTTGCCATCCCCACTGACTCTTGGCACCTCGGGATCCACCAGAGCCTTCCTCATCCTACCCAGAGCGGGCCAGGCGGAGAGAATTGATGACACTGCCACCTTCACTGGCTTCCCCGGAATCCTGACCCACACCTAGGCTATGTCTACACTACAGCTCATGTCTGCATGACTTAGGGCGCTGAGGGGTGAATAAACCACCCCCCTGAGTGACATAAGTTACACCAACCTAAGCGCCTGTGTGGACACAGGTACCGCCGCTCGCAGAGGTGGTTTTATTCTGCTCTCCCGTCGGTACAGAGCGTCTTCACCAGACGCACTGCAGCAGCGCAGGATGTGTAGACAAGCCCTGGAATGTGAGGGTTGGTTCCTGCTCCCACCCGCGCCCTCGTGTGTCACTTTTCTTCCCCACCTGACTTCTCTTTCCTATCTCTGCTGTGTTGTCTTCTGTTTAATAAGGCTCTGGCTTAGCTGGCCAAGCCTGCACCCTTTGCTGGATTTCTGGGAGCCCGGGGCCAGTGAGGTAGCTAAAAGCAACGCCCCAAACAGGCTGATACATGCAAGTTTGCGGGGGCAAGAGTGGCTGATCAGACGTGCTAAGCCTGGGCTCCTCCAGCAGTGAGGCTGCATATAAGAGGTTGCAGAGGCAGACGCTGCATTTTCTCTTCGCTGTTCTTTTCTGTCCTCTGGGTTTTTCTTGGTTTGTTTTCTTCTTTCGTCAAGGAAATGGCAGTAGACTTGAATAACAGCAGCCGCTCCAGAACATCTCAGCTGATTCTTCTCTTTCCCCCCAAAAGGACAACCACTGTTTTAATACTATCTAAAAAACTATCAGACAGGGTGTAACGATGCTGGTTCTGGCGGGACCCAACTGAGAGTGTCAATTCAGGACAAATTGCTAAAACAGGGCAGTCACAGCCCAAGGCTGGGGTGTTTCCACCTCTAAGGCAAACCAAACCAGCCAGACAAAGAGGACTTTGGTCTCACCCCACTGGCTAACCACAAGTTACACAAGCAATTCCCTTAGACACTCCAGTTTCCCAGTATCACCACCAGTGCCACTCGTTATGGGGACAAATGGTTATGAAAACCAATACCCCAGTAAAAGAAAATAAGGTTCCCTCAATCCCGAAGGACCAAGCCCCAGACCCAGGTTAATATACAAATCAGATCTTACCCACAAATCATGCTGTTGCCAATTCTTTAGAATCTAAAAATCTAAAGGTTTGTTCATAAAAGGAAAAAGATAGAGATGAGAGCTAGAATTGGTTAAATGGAATCAATTACACAAAGTAATGGCAAAGTTCTTGGTTTAGGCTTGTAGCAGTGATGAAATAAACTGCAGGTTTAAATTAAGTCTCTGGAATACATCCCCTGCTGGGATGGGTCATTCAGTCCTTTGTGTAGAGCTTCCATTTGTAGCAAAGTCCCTCCAGAGGTAAGAAGCAGGATTGAAGACAAGATGGAGATGAGGCATCAGCCTTTTATAGTCTTTTCCAGGTGTAAGAACACCTCTTTGTTCTTACTGTGGAAAATTACAGCAAAATGGAGTCTGGAGTCACATGGGCCAGTCCCTGCATACTTTGCTGAGTTACAAGGCGTATTTGCCTTTTCTCAATGGATCAATTGTATAGCTGATGGTCCTTAATGGGCCATCAAGCAGGCTCGGCAGAGCTACCACCAACTTGTCTGGGATGTCTCCCAGAAGCATAGCATAAGTTTGAAATACAGACAGTATAGAACCAATATTCATAACTTTAGCTACAAAATTGATACACACACATAGACAGCATAATCATAACCAGCAAACCCTTGTCTTAGACACCTCATTTGACCCCCTTTATACAAGATTTGGTGCCACTACAGGACTTTGGTTGCAACCATGTTCTATATGGTCCCAGATTATGTCAATAACGTCACACAGGGATTTTTTTTTCCCTTCTGAAGACTGTCTAGAAGGGAAAGACTAGAAGCGACATTGTTCAAATGAAAGCCTGACTTCATACTTGGCCAAATACTTTAACTGCCTTTCCTTCCTTCCTTCCTTCCTTTTTTTTTTTGTATCTTTACGAATAGGTTAAAGAGGTTTGTTGTGGTGGTTGGTACAATGAGAGTGGGCCAAAGACAACTTAATACAAATCACTGGACCACACATAGGTTTAATGTTGTAACAGTGACCATCTTATCCCTTGCTGGCCCAACACCCCCACCCCTTTTCCACACGGAGTATCAAGTGTTAAATGTGTATGAGTGAAAGGATGGGGTTCAGGTGGTGGAAAGTGGGTTGAGGTTAGTTGGAGTGAAGAAGATAGGAAAGCGTTTACATGTGGATTTTATCCAGACAGCCCCTGTCTAGACCCGTTTACACAGAGGCCACTTTCTGTGCACCTGGCTAATCATCTCC